AAATGGATTAACAGAACTGGGACTTTTTGCTTCTTGTTTAAGACCACAAGTCGACCGCAGTGTAGGGAGTGTTACTTTTAAAATGTATTCCCCTACAGATTACAGATTACATACCCTAAAATGCAGTGAGTAATGTAATCTGAATACTTTGGATTACTTGATTTGCTGTAGAGAAGCAAAGACGAGGAAATCTTCACATGAGAAGTTTTGTCTGATAAAAGAAAATAAAAAGCCCAGACTTTACTTAACCCTATTAAAAATATTATTGATAGAAGCGGAGGAGACACGTCCACACAGCATGATTTAGTCCTGTTAAATCCTGGTTTAGACCTGGTTTAGACTTGGTTTAGACCTGGTTTAGACCTAGTTTAGACCTGGTTTTAGATCTGGTTTTAGACCTGGTTTTAGACCTGGTTTAGACCTGGTTTAGACCTGGTTTAGATCTAGTTTAGACCTGGTTTTAGACCTAGTTTAGACCTGGTTTTAGACCTGGTTTTAGATCTGGTTTTAGACCTGGTTTTAGACCTGGTTTAGACCTGGTTTAGATCTAGTTTAGACCTGGTTTTAGATCTGGTTTTAGACCTGGTTTTATACCTAGTTTAGACCTGGTTTAGACCTGGTTTTAGACCTGGTTTAGACCTGGTTTAGACCTAGTTTAGACCTGGTTTTAGACCTGGATTTAGACCTGGTTTTAGACCTGGTTTTAGACCTGGTTTAGACCTGGTTTAGACCTAGTTTAGACCTGGTTTTAGACCTGGATTTAGATCTGGTTTTAGACCTGGTTTTAGACCTGGTTTAGACCTAGTTTAGACCTGGTTTAGACCTGGTTTTAGACCTGGTTTTAGACCTGGTTTAGACCTGGTTTAGACCTGTTTAGACCTGGTTTTAGACCTGGTTTAGACCTGGTTTAGACCTGGTTTAGACCTAGTTTAGATCTGGTTTTAGATCTGGTTTTAGACCTGGTTTAGACCTGGTTTTAGACCTGGTTTAGACCTGGTTTAGACCTGGTTTAGACCTGGTTTTAGACCTGTTTTAGTGTCAAGCAATGAGTGGATTTACGGGCTTTACCAGCTTTCAGTTCGATACGATATGTTTCAAAGCGATTCGATACGGTTCAACAAAAATAAAGGCTAAATCATGGCTGTGACACTAAAAGTCTTTGTTAAATCACTTTTTGTGCAAAGTGAAAATGAAACACGCATTTTTACTCATCAAAACAGAGAAAATGTCAAATGTGTCGCATAAACAAGTTTCCTTCCTCTAAAAAAACGTAGCGCTGTAACAAAATAATTAAATAAAATATAGCAAAAAATACTCTTGGCGATGTATCGATACAGCAGCCTACAATATTGACTCTGTATCATCACAATAAACAATACAATATATCGATATTTTGATATTTTTGCGCACCTCCAACCACGAGCAATGGGTGGTAGCAAGCAACAGATTAACATTTAAGTATTTTTATTGTCGAAAAGTGGCTACGTGACATTTTACAATCCTAAATGTATCACTCAGATTCTTCATTTTTCAGAATCTAAATTGCAGGATTACTGAACAGCTGCAGGGATATCAGCTCGTGTTTGGAGAAGGAGGCGTCACTAAAGATGAAGAGAATTTGCAGAATCAGACGTGCTTGACCCTGGGCTGATCACGTTGTGTTCTTCCTTGTTTACTTAATAACTGGACTATTATGAAAATCTTATATAACACAACTTGGATTTTGCTTTTATACTAAGCTTGTTAAAAGTACATATACCTAGAAACAGAGTGATTCTAAAACTAATATAGAAACCTCATTATAAACTCATTATAACAGATATCTATTCATACTTTGCAGTGACATATTGCTGGGGGTCTTCTACATGAATCTCTATTGGCGGATTGTTCAGCGTTACCATGGTGACACGACGCACACATTAGAAAACACAAAAACAAAAATGATGTGTGAGCAACTGAAAAAAACTGCTGTAATTGTATATGTGAGAGACTGTGGTATATTTTACTAAATTATTTTGTTACAGCGCTACAGTTGTTTGTTATTCAGAGGTATTGTATGCATTATCGTTGACATTTTCACTGTTTTGAGATGGTATGTGTTCATATGACTATGTATCGAAGATTTATCAAAGACTGTGTAGTATCGAGTATTGATGTATCGTGGTATGATCGATGTATGTATCGTATCGTGGCCTATGTATCGAGTATGTATCGTATCGTGGCCCGTGTATCGAGGTATGTATCGTATCGTGGCCTATGTATCGAGGTATGTATCGTATCGTGGCCGTGTATCGAGGTATGTATCGTATCGTGGCCTATGTATCGAGGTATGTATCGTATCGTGGCCTATGTATCGAGGTATGTATCGTATCGTGGCCTATGTATCGAGGTATGTATCGTATCGTGGCCCGTGTATCGAGGTATGTATCGTATCGTGGCCCGTATGTATCGAGGTATGTATCGTATCGTGGCCTATGTATCGAGGTATGTATCGTATCGTGGCCTATGTATCGAGGTATGTATCGTATCGTGGCCCGTGTATCGAGGTATGTATCGTATCGTGGCCTATGTATCGAGGTATGTATCGTATCGTGGCCTATGTATCGAGGTATGTATCGTATCGTGGCCCGTGTATCGAGGTATGTATCGTATCGTGGCCTATGTATCGAGGTATGTATCGTATCGTGGCCTATGTATCGAGGTATGTATCGTATCGTGGCCTATGTATCGAGGTATGTATCGTATCGTGGCCTATGTATCTATGTATCGTATCGTGTGTATCGAGGTATGTATCGTATGTATCGTATGTATCGTATCGTGGCCCGTGTATCGAGGTATGTATCGTGTCGGCAACTTCTTCATGATACCCAGCCCTGTTTAATCGTACACATTAGCTCACCTGTTGTAGTTTCAGCTAAATCAGTTCTTTCTGGTCAGACTGTGTTAAAATAAAGTTCAGATTAAGTCTAATTTGAGTAACAGAGTTTCTAACAGAGTAGTGCCTCCAGTTAGCATCACAAAACCTCGAAATATGTTGTTGACATCAGCTGCAAAGTATCAATACTGATGTGGAATTGAACTGGTGAAGAAGCTACAACTAGTTTGTGTTCAAAATATTGTATAAAAATGGGGGTTTGCCATAGCCTGGTGCCACCTAGTGCCTCCACTCAATTTCATTTCTCTCCAGCAACTAGGTCAGAAACCGGAACACACCAGACAGTGCATAAAAACCCTGGAAGTGCAAGTCCGGGCACCAGCCAATCAGCGAAGAGCCATACATCCATACATTCTGTGTTGGCAAGAATCACAAAATCGAGGATTTAAAGGTTGTATGGAGGATTTTTTTTTTTCAGTTTCAAACTGTCAATGAAAGTTTAAAATACCATTATAGAGATGCAGCAGCCTTGTAATTATGATGACCAAAAAAAAAAAAAAAAAAAGAATGAAAATCTGTCAACTGTGGATGTAGTGAGGCCAAATAAACTTCAGCCAATAGACAACAAGGCTCCCTCATTTTCTATTGGCTGTTAGGTTGTCAATCAAACTTCCTACGTTTTTTTGTGTAACTGACTCGTCAGCGTGCAGGGATTACGTGGTTTATGCAGCGGTTCTTAGAGGCTTTTTCAAACTGTAGCTTCCTCGCAATTCACACAAACTTTGTTGCAATGTCGGACGAGAATCCACGACCAGTTCGCCGCAGTAGAATGTCAGTTTTTGAGGTCGCTGAAAGAAGAAGAGAAGAAGGGGAAAAGGAGCGAAGACAAACTGAGGTGATTCTTGGAGATTCCTTCCAGCGGTTTGGCGACTGAAGCAGACGAAGGGTCTAAAAACTCATGCGCCAGTCAGTAAGTCGCTAAATTACTTCTAGACAGGTCAATTCAACAGTAATTCTGAACCTGCACTGGATGTAAACAAGTGTGATTTCTAGAGTAACGAGGCGGGAGGAGGTGTTTCTACTGAGGGAGCTGTGGAGGAGGAAGGTGGGACTGTCGCTGTATTTCTCTTCTCTTTAAAAATCCTCTATACAACCTTTAAAGCCGGAACAAAGAGAATGTTTGGAGAATTTTATCAAGGGGAAAGACGTTATTGCCCTTTTTCCTATGAGATTTGGAAAAAGCTTAATATACCAGTTAGCCCTGTTAGTGGTGCATTACATACATCGAGACCAAATAGCAGCAATTGGTTAAATAAAAACAGTGCCCCTCCGTTGAGCAAACGAATTGTAACGCTGCGAGGTCAGACGGTTTCCACAAAGTGAAACCAGCTGATGAATCAGGCTAGGTTTGTCATTAGTGAACTACTGAAATCTGTATTGCACATTAATCCTGTTAAGTTAAAAAATGTGTATTTGTTAACCACGCTAATGGAGATCTTAAAGGTGCACTATGTACCTTTTTGGCTGGTGGTCCGTCACCTGCTTGTTTCTGTGGATATGGGAATGTTCCACAGTATGACATTAAACAGCTCTACCTTACATTTATTCAATTACAGGTTACAATTACAATTTTATACTTCAGAAATACCTAGAAAAACAGGTAGGGTAGCCTCTTCACAGATCTGACCTGTAACCTGGCCCGGTTTGGTCTGCATAATGATAGAAAGGTTTAATGCCGTACTGTGAAACATTCCAGAACAAAGCAATAACATCTCCATGGAGAAAAACATTGGATGGACCCTCCACAAGAAGAATTACACAAAGCACTTTTAAGATGTAAACAAAACATGAGTCAGTGATCAATCCTGACTAGTGTGACAATGTTTTTACTGTAGTGACTAAGCAGTTTGTTGTGCAGCTCTTATGTTATACTTTAAATATATTATCCATTCATCTCTATGGACTGCTGACAACAAACAAAACTGGAGTCCAGTATAACTGATATATTACTACGATATCACTCGTTTTTATGACATTGGCGCAGAGATAAAGCTAGTAAAAAACTTTTACTAGCTCTAACTTTTATAGATTACAGACTTATGTAAGTAATCTATTATATACTCACAGTGATGTCTTTTCCCGCCCAGTTACACTCCTCCCTCCAGTCCACCGGAGCAGGCCAGTAGATCTGAAAACACAAGAGGAAAAACACATATTATTTTTCTATTGGCATAGCGTAGCATAGCCCTCCACTCCCAAAACAAATGAAATTAAAATGTAAGTCATAAACAAAAGAGACAAAAATGAAGAAATAAAAAACTTCACCCATAGCAAACTGCTTCATAAAAATAACATATGTACTTGATATTTTGTTTCTGTATTTTAAAAGGACATATTATGATTTTCAGGTGATTAGTATTGTAAGTGAAATCATGAGGTAACAAAAGTAATGTCATTTTACTTTTTAAAATTTATAAACAGCAATACTGTTCAAAAAACGCTGATTTTGTGGAGGTCCAATTTCTATTCCTTTGTATGTCTTGTGAAGAAATTGACAAATAAACAGGACTTTTAACCAGCAAATTTCTCCAGTTCAGTTTAAGATGCAGGGATTACTTTGTTTATTGATTTATTGATTTATTTGATTGGGACAGAGCATGTCAATGAACAAACATGACACAACATGAATGTAAACACACCGGATTGTAGCCTAAGGCAAATTTCCATCCATTGTCCCAAGGTGCTGGGATCACAGCAGGTCAGACAATAAAATATTGCACCCTCCATTCATTGCACAACTCCCAGTATTGCACACTCCACTATTTACACTGTTCCCATTATTGCACACTCCACTATTTACACTGTTCCCATTATTGCACACTCCACTATTTACACTGTTCCCATTATTGCACACTCCACTATTTACACTGTTCCCATTATTGCACTGTCCAAAATATTACACAGTCCAGTCATTGTGCAATTCCCATTATTTTTCAGGCAATTTGGCCACACATTCACACATGCAAATACACACACATGCAAATATGCGTCCATAGAAGATCATTTAAAATCACAATGCAGTGAAACTGCTTTACTGCTGATCAATACTTTTAATACCACACCTGCCAACAAAATGATTTTAACAAATCCTCCTAAAGTCACACAAGAAAAGCTCACTCTCCCACCAACTGCTCCCAAAAAAGTCCCTGAGCTGATTATCTTGGACAAAACTTCCAATGATAAAGTTAAGTCAGAACCTCTGAAACTGACTCAAATTCTTCCTGATCAGAGATGGGGGCAGGCACAAGCTCACGAGACCCTCAAACCAAGGCCCCCTCCAGGCAGGCCTGAAAAAATGCTACCACGAAGGCGAAGGGTGTCTGTGACATCTGCTCTCCCTGTGACTCTGACCACAACTGCCAACAAAGTGGTTTTAACAAATCCTCCTGAAGTCACACAGGAAAAGCTCACTCTCCCATCAAAGTCCCTGAGCTGATTATCTTGGATGAAACTTCCAATGATAAAGTTAAGTCAGAACCTCTGAAACTGCCTCTGATTCTTCCCGATCAGAGATGGGGCAGGAACAAGCTCACATGAACCGGAGTGAGGTTCCAAAGCTCCGTCCGGACGAGCTTACAGTGTTGCACCATCAGCCGGTTCCTCCTCCCATTTCGTTAAAGAAAATACATGGGAGAAAACTGCCATACAGAACCAAATACCCCATTCTGCCCAACAAACTGAGGCTCACCCACCCCGACAAATCCAGCGGCACCATCGAGGACCTCCTCAGACCTTCTTTGCAGCTGTAGATGCGCGACAGCACCACCAGCAAAAGTCAAAATACATTTTGTCATAGAGCAGGGGTGTCCAAATTTTTTTCATCAAGGGCCACATTTCTAAACACAGATGAAGCAGAGGGCCGATCGAGGGCCGTAGACTGGTGCTCAATACAGTGAAAAATTGAAATATGTGCATGTTTAACACTTTGGAATGAGCCATCAGTCCTTATTCACTCTAAAATCCCCAAAACCACACATTAAATCTTAAATATTGGCTTTATCAAAGTAGATAAAAAAAAAAAACTTGCTGTAAAAAGTTCATTTTTAATTGATGCAAGGTAATTTGGTCCAAATCACCTGGAAGCCCGAGGGCCAAGAAAAATTTGTTCGAGGGCCGCATTTGGTCCACGGGCCGTAGTTTGGACATGCCTGTCATAGAGCCACAAAATTTGGTACACACGTTCATCATGTCAAAACAAAAAATATGACTTTAGTTTTTGTTTACCACATTCATGTGTTATTTATATTTTTGATCAGTGGCGTGCACAGACATTTTGGGAGGCAGAGGCTCAGTGAAAAATAAGAGCACTTTGTGCACATAAGGAACTGCCATCTGCCTTATTATAGATTAAGGTAATACAAGATTACTGCAAGTCTTATGTAATTTATGGTTGGTACAAAATAATAGCTATTAAAGCTATCCTTAGGGGTATGAGCGCCATGGGATGCCAGGGCATTTCACTGTAGCAAGCAGTACATTGTCACTGTCATAAGTGTTTTTATTGTTGAAAAGTGGCAACATTACATTTTACACTCAAAATCATCATTTTTTTGTCTCAACCAAGTAAAGAGAAGTGGGTGGAGATAAGGGTTAGGTGAAAACAAAAATTTCTGAGTTCTCAAACCTCAAATGCAATATAGTACAGGATTACGCAAACAGGAAGGTGAGGGAACACTGTTATAATAATAATATAATAATATTGATTTTGCATAACGTCCCCTTTAAAGGTCGTTTATTGCGCATAATTGACTCTTGAGAGCTTTAAGTCACGTTAGAATAGTGTATGTTGTTACCTCATCGTCAATATCCCTGAGTACACCTCGTGTTTGATTTCATTCACACACCTTTAAGTAATTCTTTACTATTAGTCTGTTTCCATCAAGTTCATAACGCTCTTTTCCACCTTGTCATGTCATGGAGCAGTAGTTTTCAAGTCAGCAGCTCCTTTTGCCTTTAATTCACTAGAGATGGGCATTTCCAGGACTGAAATTATCCAAATGAATCTAGTGAGCGTGTATGGAGTTTAAAAACACAGTGGACCACTTTGTGTATTACCGCATTATCACATCTGAAGGTGGAACAGAGTGTTTTTTGTTTGAGAGAAGAACTCAGCCTAAATATGCAGGGTTTGTGAGTTGAACATGTGTGACTGAAACAAAACACAACTCCAGATATGTTTGTGACGAGGGAACAACATTGTAACATAGATCAGAATAGCAGAATACAGGTCCTTTAAAGAGATAAATGCATAGTTTCCATATTATAGCACTGTAAATATCACTTGTTGAAGCCTCTTTTCAACAGACTCATGACATCACAGTTCACAGTGAAATGCCAGCTCCACTGTACCAGAGGGAACTTACTGTCCAACATTTGAGAGACAATGGACTTTTGTGACAAGCTCCATACAATCCTGCCAGTGTTAATACTAGAGACAACATAAACCAGCCATTATATTACGACCACTGACAGGTGAAATCCAAAACACTGATAATCTCGCAGCTATGTAATTTGAGGTACAGTGGCTCTTCTGTTGGATCTGACCACACAAGCCAGACTTCACTCCTCATGTGGCTCTTTGGGTCGTTAGAGACAGAAAATGACCCACAAGAGGTTTTGGAGATGCAAATCTGGTCCAGGCATCTAGCCCTAGAGTATTTGGGTCATACTATTGGAACAGAAAGTTTAGAAAATATGACAAATTAAAATAATTTACAGCTAGAACTATCAAAAATAGAAAGAACTTGGAGTCTAATTTTCAAAAATGGTATGTGATCTTTTTGCAGTTTTGTGTTGCAGCAAATTTGTTTCTTTTAAGTATTTAGCACGTGTCTGGATTGTCAAGAAATATTATCTAAATCAGAATAATGCCCCAAAAGTAGCTACTAGTTTTAGTTAACATTGTCCACACCACAGTCTATTTTTATTTACAAAGAAAACCAACACAATCTTCTTCTCACAATCTTTACCCATCTTTATCCATCCTGCTATTACAATGTCACCTGTTTGGACAAAATATACACTCCCTCACCTGACCCAACTTTTGATGTCCTTCAAGCAACTAAATAAAAGGGTTTATGGCTTTTGAAAATCAACCTAAGCATCAATATAAGGAAAACAAGCCAACTCAACCAGTCAAAAATAACAACTTACTTCAATGAAAATCCAAACTTTCAACTATGAACAGTCAAAAATCATAAGGAAAACATTCATCTAAGATCAATTTGCTAGACTGTGATTTACTCTGATGCACATGGGTCCAAAGCAGATACAAATACTTGCCATCTCTTCTTAGATACAAGTTCATCAAAGTAGTAGTAGTAGTATTAGTAGTAGTAGTATTAGCGGTGCATGTGCATGTCTACTGTAGAACATTCTAGACAAAGCAATAATATTTCCATGGAGGAAGTGAAGTGGTGGACCCTTCACTACAAATGTTACGCAGTGCACCTGACATGTTGGACAACTCATTGCACTAAAACACAGTTAAGATTTTTACTACAAAGATTTTACTTCTCTTTTTGCAGTTTGGCAATTTTTAGGTTTAAAATTTTACTACCTGTTTGGAAATAATCACATCACGCTAGGGAATTCAGTAACTTTTATCTTGCATCCATGCTGTACACAGGGCCAAAACTCCTCTAATGCACACAGAAATTAATATTTGACAAATAAAATATAAGAAAACACCTCTATTTTGTTATGTAAGTATAATAAGTTTTTAAAAGTATCAGAAAAATATGTCTCTTGTGTGTAAATTGTGCCAAACTTTTAGATTGTGGGACTCTCTCTTTCTCTACTTCCTGAAAATTTCAACATATTTATCAACTTTTCTTTGCATATTACTTCTCGATTGGTGTGAAACTAAAATTTATATTTACAACAGTTTTATTCTACCAAATTAAGTAAAAAGTTGTGAATCATCAGACCCTCTCACACGCACTTGAAGCTTGTATTTTAATGACGATATGTAAACTGTACCTTGTGTTCCTGTTTGGCGATGTTGTCCAGAGACAGTGAGAGCAGGAAGTTCTTGGCACCCACGAAGAGCCGGCCTCTCTCCTCGTCTAAAAGCAACGCCCCGAAACAGCACGATCTGTCCAGGTCGAAACGCCGAACACCGTGGAACTGCTGCAGCTCTGAGTCAGAAGGAGGGAGAAGAGATTAATGACACAACTTTAATGAAATTTCAGAGGAGGTCAGAGAGAGGAGTGAAGCAGTAGGAGACATTTTAGGATTGATATTTGGCAGAAATCAAATCGAAGTACACCACCGCACTACCAATACATCTAGACTATTACTTTTATAGTTTGTACATTTTGTTCTTCAACCACCAACCAACCAGGGATTGAACCACCAGCTAAATTAGAAAATCAGCCTCATACCTCTCTTGACAATGTGTATTTGAGTACAAGACCTGAACATTATTTTCTGGTGGAGGGTCTGCTACCTACAGTACTGGTCTCCATGGAGATGTTATTGCTTTGCCTAGAATGTTCTATGGTATGATATAAAACATATACATCAAGCATTTATTCATTAAGGGTTTTTCTGTTGCTTAAAATACTGTACAGTACCGTATTTTTTGGACTATAAAGCGCACCAGATTATAAAGCATAATATCAGTAATGTTAAATTCTCTAGTCTGTTTTCATACATAAGGCACACCGGATTATAAGGCGCATTAAGCAAAACAAATGGACGACAATTGAGACTGATCCCTTAGCCCAGGCGTCCACGATCCATTGGCAGATCGTGGCGTAATTCGCCCGGCGTTGCCTCCCTGTCTTGGTGAATGTGTATTATGAAAGTGAATGTGGGTGGATAATTTAAGTTTGTCACCTGGTCCCCAAAGGTTTGACCAGGTTTTGTATTCACCCTGTGTGTCTGTGTCTGTCCACCCGTGATGGTTCCACCATTTATGGACCGATTGTCACCAAATTTGGTACGTGGGTCAAGCCCCTGTGCCCGATGCCGCAAAAAAAAAAGTTTGGTGACAATCCGAGGTCATTTGATTTCACACAAGTCAATTGAAAGGTCATGCCATTATAAAGGATCGGCAATTTCGGCAATTTCTGAACCATCTGCTGGGCTAAAATATTCATCCAAGTTGGCACACACATAACCGGGGATAGGATAAGGCAGGGTATGCCTCCATGGTGATGAACTGTCCCCACCGATGCATCATGGAGGACCAGGTTGCTATCTCTGATTGCGCTTGTTTTTTTATTTCCTACAAGGAGGACTCAAATATACATTGATTAATAATGTGTTTAATGCAGCTTTGGGCACATTTGTTTACATTTTACAGAAACAAAACCACATGAATAATTTGCATAAACTAAAAGCGCTGAAAAAACACCTTGCTCCTTGTGCGCTGATGGGGTCAGTTTCTGTCGGACTCTGCAAAGCTCCTAACTACAGTAACCATAATGCTCTGTCAATCCATCAAGCAATGTAGCTTCATAGTTTACCAAAGTTGTACTAAAACATTTTGACAGATTTTTGAGCGCCGTGTACCACATAAAATCGGTTCAAGGTCAGTAAGCACAACCAGAATTAATACATAAGGCACACTGTTGATTTTTAAGAAAATTTAAGGATTTTAAGTGCGCCTTATAGTCCAAAAAATATGGTAATTCTTTGTGTAAATAGTTGATGTTGCCTGCTTATAGATATGTTTAATCTATACTACGGCACATTCTAGACAAAGCAATATAATTTCCACGGAGACAAGCAGGTAGTGGACCCTTCACTAGAAATGTTACACAGTGCACCTTTATTTTTCATGTTTTTTCTTCAGTACTAAGGCTGCGCACAGGATGTTTTTTCTAATTAAACACTTGAGGCCAGTGATTTAACAAAGCTGTATCAGAGAGCGTTCAAAGCTGAGTCCTGAGGCTTGTTTATTCTGGGACTTTTTAAACACGGTTGATTATCACACACTCATGATGCGGACCAGACCAGAGCCCATTATCTAGTCAACTTGAACACTGTATCGTAATTGGACACTATCCCTCTATTTCTTTATTATGCTCGATTGCAGCAGCAGAGCCAGCAGCCACTTCAACCACTCCATCCCATTCAAAAACACTTTCAGAAAGCAAAAATACACATACTAGTACATCTCAAAACATCTCCAATCAGTACATCTTCTTATATAATATATGGGTTGGATTTCTGAACTGAGTGACCAAAAATATTATAACTTTTTCATGATATTCTAATTTTTTGAGATGTAACAAAATTATTTGGTACAATATACCAAAAAATACTCTTGGCGATATATCGGCAGTAGCCCAGTTGGTAGAGCATTCGCCCACTGATCTGAAGGTTGGTGGATCGAATCCATTTCTCAACATAAAACATCACAGGTTGAGCGATCAGATCCACTGACCCACAGGTTGTCTGGTGTGATTCCAACTCCCACAGATGAATGCTGTTGTTGTGTCCTTGGGCAAGACACTTAACCCACCTTGCCCACAGTGTCTGCGTACACTGGTGTGTGAATGGGTGAGTGGTTCCTTGTTGTAAAGTACTTTGAGTGCCTTGAAGGTGGAAAAGCGCTATAGAAAAATGTGACCATTTACGATATCGATACAGCAGCCCACGATACCGATACTGTGTCATCTCATTTAACAATACGAATAATCGATATTTCAGTATTTTTGCACACCCTTATAGAAGATGAAAAAGATGAATGCAAAATGATTTTGAAGGTGCACGTATAACTTTTATGTTGTGGGTCCATCACCTGTTTCTATGGAGATGTCATTGCTCTGCTAGAATGTTCCACAGTATGACATTAAACAGATCTACTTACATTTATTCAATTACAGGTGGTTTTACAGCTCACAAATACCTAGAAAAACAGGCGTTCTGACTGTGAGCGTGGTCGCCTCTCCACAGATCTGACCTGTAACTCGGTCCGGTTTGGTCTCCATGAAGATAGAAAGGTTTAATGCCGTACTGTGAAACATTCCAGACGAAGCAGCAACATCTACACGGCGAAAAGCTTGAAGTTGAAAAAAGAAGCCAAACAAAACTCCGAAATGTGTATCATTAATATTGACACACTGACAACACGGAGCTAAAAAGGCGCTGTGGAGAGTCGGGTAGTAGTTAGCCGGTCGTTTTCGAAGCTCTACACTTTCTCTGTGGTTTGGTGCCCGTCCCGCCTCCAGTCTGCTTCTGTGGTTCACGTGGCTCTAAACTTACTCACAAACAGCAGCGGAGAAGTTTGTTTTATAGACTTAGCAACTGCCCGGCACCACCACATCAGTCAATAGACACAAGACACAAGCCGCAACCTGCTGACAGTGTGTGGAGTGGCAGTCAACAGTGGAAAAATGTGCCTCGAGATGACAAGTAAGTCTGAATGTTTCTATACACTGTTACAGGATCCTATTTTAGACCAGTGTCCTTTGTAAAGACACTCTTCCCATATGGAAAAGGTGTAGACAAATCATACACCATCTGAACATGTTTTATCTGAATCCTAAAAGATTTGTATATGACAGTGAAAACAGTTATAAGATCTTTGGTAAATATGTGCAGCATGAAACATATAAAACTTTGTAACCTGCAAGAGCTGAATATGACACTAATCCCACACACAATATCCTCACAAGTGTTGGACAAAGGTCATTTTTACCACAGAATCAAAGAAAAACAAGTGAATGATGTTTGTTTCCTTAAACTCGATTTCTGTGTTGTGTTTATGAGAGTGAGAAAGAAAATGATCACAGTGTGTGTGTCTGTGTATATATGTGTGTGTGTGTGTGTGTGTGTGTGTGTGTGTTGGGCAGCATGGGGGTAAACACAGTAATGCAAATATTACAAATATTACAACCTTAAAAAACATAAGACATATCACTCTTCCACTGACATCACAGTGAACATACATCAGGCTGTGAAAAGATTTTTACTCTGCAAAATCCTGTAGCTCGTTTCCTTGTTGCCTCTTCAAGGAGCCATTTACTTGTGGGATACCAGGATACTTGTAACTGTCCTCAACATCTGCTGTAGTTCTCACCACTAGTGATAGTTGGGTAGATTAACAGGAAAGTCACTGGACTTTCACATGGGTGACCTGGGTTCAAATCCCCCTTCTGACTCAGGTTTTGTTGTTGTTTTTTTAACTACAACATATAATTAAACAATACAAACATTACATGGAACTAGGGATGGGCATTCGATGAAATTTTCTTAATCGATCGTCGGAAGAATTAACGATCAATTATTGATTAATCATTAATGTTTTTATATTAAAATGATCATTATTATTATTACTATCTGCACTACTAATCTGCATAAATAAATTCAACTTTACGACATATAAACCGTAACGACTCTAGAGCCACATCAGCCTGTTTGACATTATAATGTGTTTAATTCAGTTTTGCGCAACTCTCACAGAAACGAAACTTAAAACCGCATCGCTAATTTGCATAAACTAAGCGAAGATAAAACTACAGCTCTTGTGTCGCTGATGTGGTTCAGCTTCTGTCAGATTAAAAGACATGATTCAGGTGAATACAGGTTAGTGTGACCATATTTGCGTTTGTCAAAACCAGGACACCGTACGGGGGGAGGGAGGTGGGGACTCGTCATCGACATCGAGCGACTCTCACCTGGCAAAATTTTTCCCACTGGACACAGAAACATATGTGCTGCTTTATACACTGTGCACATGGACTCACACTTGTCCCGAACGCAACGGAAAGTGTGGAATTTCTTGTACAAGTCATCGTTAAATACGCATTTGCGTTGCAGACTGACTGAATGTTTCTGTTTGCTCGCTCCTTCTGGGTTTGACAATTCTTCAATTTCAGCTTAATTTGTTGGGATAATATTTGTTGTACATGTAAATTACAGTTTAACACAAATCAAGAAGCAGTTTGGGAAGAAAAGTAGAAAAATGTGTTGAAAATGACAGGAAGTAGAGAGCACTAAAACACGGATGACCTCAAAGTAGAGAGAAATCGGTCTAAAAGTTTGGCGCAATTTCTGATACTTTAAACATGATTTCAACAGGGGATTGACTGGAAGGTCAAATTAAGATTATTTAGAACCCCGCTCAAAACTTTTATTTCAAAATGTAGTGTTAGTGATAAATGTTGGAGAAAGTGTGGACTTG